ACCAACGCCACAAACGAGAGATTCAGCTGGGTTCCAGGCGAGTTTCTCACAAAACCAAAATTGTTTGCAAATGAGTGTACTTCGCTAATTCCATGCAAGTTTGTTTCAAGTTGACGGAAACTCGGAGAGTGCACCTAGCTGATGAGCCTCAAGATGGGTGAAACCGGTCGTGGGCTGTCGAAGAATTTTCAACACTACGTAGGTGCATGTATCGTGGTATCTCGAATATCGTACCGACTGAAACATGAGGCGGTCTGGTGCAGCACATTCAGTTGCCTGGAGACATCAAAACCGAGAGATTCAGCTGGGTTCCAGGTGAGTCTCTCGCAAAACCAAATTTGTTTGCAGATGAGTGTATTTCGCTAATACCTTGTTGTGGTCGTTCTAATTCAATTAAGAAATCTTTGAAGAGGGGATCGTACATTATTTCTAGGAAGTATAATACCAAAGTGAAATGAGAATTTAACAAGCACTTTGTGGTACACAACACTCACAGGATTTCGACAGCTCACGACTGGTTTCATCTTTCTTGGGGCTCATCGGGTAGGTGCAATTCCAAATTTCTGCCAACCTTATCTATCAAAACTGGATGCAGTTTGTGAAATACATTCATCTGTACAGTAGCTTGGTTCTGACGAAGACTTAATTTCATCTTTCTTGGGGCTCATCGGGTAGGTGCAACTCCAAATTTCTGCCAACCTTATCTATCAAAACTGGATGCAGTTTGTGAAATACATTCATCTGTACAGTAGCTTGGTTCTGACAGAAGACTTAAATGAATCACAACTGGATTTTCTTCATTATCCTGTAGGTAGCCGATAACCTTACTACTTCTCGGATCGTTAGATACCTAAAAAAACAGAATTCAATGGAATTCGCACGCCCTGATCCCATGTCTGAAGTCGCAGAAGCCCCTGGCGCACATCTACATATCGAATAAGAGGTGCTTTTAACTTATATGGACAGGAAGTTATTTTATCAGACATTTGTTCTACACAAGAAATTCAGTTCTTACATTCCAAAGCTGCAATACTTTCTTGAATATCTTAAGTTAGGTTTCTTCACTTAATGAACTCCCATTTCCTACGAATCTATTCATACACAGTGGGCTTGCGTCACTTTTGGGACTTGCCGTCGTGCCGACGGTCACCGCACACACACGGTCCCCGACGGTCCCCTGCGACATACTGTTTACTCCGAGCTACATGTGAGGCCACCTGAACTCTCTTTACTTGCGGTAAACCTCAGGGAATGGGAACTGGCGGTGAACAGGACAAACCGATCTAAAGCCGCCGCTGACAGTCAGGCCAAATGGGGACAAGTGAACAGTGTATGTAAAGGGTAGTCCGGTGACTCGCACCGCTCATGAGACTCACTCAAGGTTCACACATGTTTCCGGCTAGATTGAGCCCTTACTTAGCTTGATCTATAGAACGACGATCACAGAGAGTCAGTTCTAGTACAACATCCCGAGATGCCGAGAGTGATGAATGGATCGTTTACAGATAAAAACGCACAGGAGTAAAATACAGCGAAATATAGTTCAAAACGGGACAATACGATGTAATATATTCCACAGGGAATGAATGAGATAGCGTCGAAGCGAAACACAGAGCTCCTCCACGCAACCGACAAACCTCTAGTAGAAGTAGTACTTCTCAAGCCGAAAAACAGGGCTATCTACAAGCCTTTAGTCACGTGAATCTACGTGTGCTCATACAGAGTTTTAATAGTGATCTAGAGAGGCTACTCCCATCTCTTTTATGACACCGAATAGATCCATCTGTCACAGCGTTTGTACCATATGGCTAGTTCAGCTCCAGTGCGATGAAATTATCAATTTTGAGGACAAAAACATGGATCAAGAAGTATTTTCGGTTGCCCAGTCTTGTTCGAGTTACAGAAACTTACAAAACTTACAAAAAGTGAAGTGGTTTCCAAATTACAAGCGCAGCACAATTGCTATGGAGAATCTTCATCAACAATCGCATTTACTTGGAATTATGATAAACGAGATGGCTGATTTTTGTGCGCCTATGGATTGGAACGAAGGAGCATGAATCCAAAGTAATCCACGGCGAATCGGTTTCTACGGTACCACGTAATTATTTACAATCGAGATTATAGATTGAGGTTCGGCTCCGTAACTTTTGGATAGATTGCAAAACAAACTATCACAAGCTTCATATGGGTTTTGAAAGTTACAGCAGTTTGACCTGACCACAAGAATCTAAAAGATGACATCAGCGTTCACGTATTACCCAGATTTTTCTGTGTGCCTTCCTACCATCAGAAGTAGCAACACTTTAAAATAACGGCCGGATTTCTAGTTCAAAGACCAAACTTCACGATATCACGTTTTTTGTTATCATCTGTATTAATTTTTTCAGGAGAATGGAGATGAAGATATACGAAATATTTCATTTCTAGAAGGTAACCGTATATTTGTTTTTTAGGCTATGCAAACCAGAGAAGAGTGAAGTGATTTGCTCAGCATCGGGTGACAGATGGATCAAACGCCGAGAACAGTTTATTTTCATCAATGGGACCGGGTGCAAAGCTCGACAAACGATATCGGAGGAAATTATCGGTAAGACGTTTTCTCCGGTAAAATCAGATTTAATATTGCTGGCAGTATGCCCACAAACCCGATAGTCAGTCCACTTAAGATGTGAATGGAGAGTGGTCCAGATAGTTCGGTGGTTAGGGCGTCAATTACTGACTGGAAGGCGCGTGATTCGAACCTAACCCTGGTATCTCGACTTTTCTTGTCTAGGTTTGGGCAACCTGACAGTATCTCAGCCCTCGAGCCTCCTTCATGTGGCATGGCAGCTAGGCACCGAAAAGGTGTCACGGCTGAATAGCTCATTGATTGAACAATTGTTGTAAGGTGTACGAAAGATGTAAGCGACTGTAAATGTGCTGAGTAAACTCTTTGTGAAAACAAGTTTGGAGTGAGCTTTTTCGTTTCAGTGCAATTATCTGTTGAGCTTGGTTGCAGAGCATTTTTGGAAAAAGTGCTGTGGGTACTACACAGTCTAATCAGCCATGGTCTTGCCACCCTATTTATTAGTAACTGGGGCACCCATTCTGCTCAGTCGGAGTGCGATTTTAAAGTTAGTATGCGAAATTGCTGGTCGGACGGACTGGTCAGCAGCGCATGTGGACACGAGGAGCTGGACGCAAAATACAAACATCATTTTCAAATGATCTCGCACCCTATCAGTTGCCTGGCTACACAAACTGCGATTTTTACTGAACATGTTCATTTCAGCAAATCATGTCGGAAGGGGCGCTCAGTATTCGCACAATGGAATTGAATTTTCGAAAGTCATAACGTGCCCCTAATGACTAAAGCTGTCGAGCAATTGGGTTGAGAGCACCAGTCCAAACTTTTAGGCCCTGTTCAGGCACCCGAGGGACTCAGCGATGCTGGCAAATTATCCAACAGGATTTTCAGCCAGAGGTGTGGTTGCTTCGGTGATCACTGAAATTTGGTGAGATGCAAAAATATGAACGTAAATTACAACGGCTTTTTGTTTGAGCACATACGCAGGTGGGTGGACCGTCACGCTGTGGTTGCTGCCCTCACCGAGAAGCGAGTTAAAGGATTTTATTCTTGTATTCAGTGGGCCTGGAAAACGTGTCAAAGCCTATTTCTGCTACGATGCAGTCCTTTGGAATCCATCTTACAGTACTCAGCATAGACGGAGGGACTGTACCAGCACCGTTTCATCAAACGCAACGGATTCCTAGTGGGTCAGCAAATGCACCGAAGTTTGTAGCAACTGATCAGGAATGTTTCCAACTTGTCACAGTGCTGAAGCTGATAATCAACAAGCAATGGTTTGGAGTTTTCAAAATTGATACTTGTGAAGCGGAATCGGTTGATCCCGGAAAAAATCAACTCAATACCAGTGTAGCGGTGTATACTACTGATGAAGCATGTGAGTCGTGTCTGGTCTGGTGTCCAAGCTCCGCTACCACATCTGACGGAAATTTAAGATTGCTACGGAAATCATGAAACTGCTTTGCAGTGCTCGTTTAGGATTGTCTAATATTCAGAGAACATTCAGTAACGTTCAAGAGGACGTTTGAGAATGTCTACTTTTCACAAGCTCTGTGCAGATGGGATGTTTACTTTCGTGTCTAAGGGCTTGTCAACGCTTAGCTCATGTTTGCTAGTAGACACCGCAACTTAGGGTGTTCTTCGTTTCCCCAGTAGTCGAACGCTTATCAGATATCGGTACACGTAAAATTTTGTGTCTATCGTGCGTACTATTGGGACTGATGGGTGTTTGGTGTTGGGGTCAATAGTATGAGTTTTGACCTGAGCACAAGACGATACAAGCCTGGTACATCCATCTGGTGAGTATCAATCGAATCATAAAATGCAAGAAGCAATTCTAGAAACACTACAAACGAGAGATTCAGCTGGGTTCAAGGTAAGTCCCTCGTGAAACCAAATTTGCTTCAAATGAGTGTATTTCGCTAATTTCGTGCGATTTGGTTCGAAGTAGAACACAGGGTTGACGGAAACTCGGGGACTGCTCCTACCTGATGAATCCCAAGAAGGGTGAAACCGGTCGTGGGTTGTCGAAGAACTTTCAGCAACTTTATGAGTAGTGCGTTATGACTATGCATGTATCGCGATATCTCCAATATCGTAGCAACTAAACCGTGACACAGTTTAGTGCATTCAGTTGCCTTGGAACGTCACAAACGAGAGATTCAGCTGGTTTCCAGCTAAGTCTCTCGTAAGACCAAATTTGTTTTCAAATGAGTGTATTTCGCTATAAACACTTCTTGTTATTCACTAGGTATCAGTTTTATTCCTAGTAAGTTTCATGGTACGTGCCACTGGTGGGTATGATTCGGGCTCGCAGGTTTCCACTGCTGAGCGGCTGGAATGTGGTTGTGTGTTTGAGGAACCCATTTCTACTGTGAACCAGTTGAATCGGGCGCCGATACTGTCGTTAGGTTAATAGTAACTCTATTTCAATACACTATTATCTGACTGGCAAGTCGGGCGGCGCATTTCAAAGGGCTGAGGTATGGGGCACCAATCATTTCCAGTGGTCCCATAAACAAACTAACCTTTTTACAGGATCCGGATGTTTCTTTCTGAACTTAGAAATACTCGGGGGAGGTCACCAAGTGCAGTGCTAAGTAGCTCAGCACTCAAAAGATGCGTCGAAATTAATACCTTCACTAAGTACGCCTAAATTTTGTGTCCATCAGTTCGATTTCTGATCAATGGTGTTGAAAATAACTTGGCTTACTGTGTCTGAATCGCGTGGTCAGCTTCCAGTTATTAACGAATATCCTGGTTGTGGAGGCAGCAAAAAACCCTTTTGTCAGTGCTTAAATTATGAGACAGTGAAAAATAAAATCATACAGCTGTAGCACCATTTCGGCACAATAGCCGCCATGCGACCCGAAAGAAACACTAGAACTGGGATACTGCCAAGTTACCCAAGCCTAGACAGGAGCAGTCGAGATGCCGGGGCTGAACTCGAATCCCGGACCTTCCTGTCAGTAAGTCAGCCTCTCAACCTCTCATCTCTCTCGAGTTCAGTGGGACTATCGCATCCGAGGAAATCGGTCGTTCGGCGCCAGTTCACCTGCATCGACACCGCAGAAATGTGAGCTGCCACTTCTGTTGACAATGTAGTGTGCCGTCCAATAGTCAGCATTAGTTAAAAAAAATGATACTAGATGGGATCACATTCTAAAAGTGGAGTTATTGCATGCTGAGAGGCCATGAAGGAATCTACGACTGCTTCAAAGGGCGGTTTCAACTCCTGGAACCACAGCTTCCGGTCATGCACCGTTGGAGAGTCATATGGCTGCCTTGTAGTTAGACGGGCTATAGAGACACCTGCAATCACGTCAAATGATATGGTGTTGAACGTATCCACAACTAATGACCTCTGAGGTAGGAGGTCTGTGTAGCATATGGCATTTTTGGTTACTTTCGGAGGAGATAACACGTTTTTCTAGATAGGGATCCTCAGCATTCAGGAACAGACTAACTTTATCTGCAGAACAAAATCTGCACCAAACCCTCGAAATCTCTCTGTCCAATTGTCAAGTTCATGATACTAGGAAGTTAGTGGTAGGTGTGTGGTGAATATAATGCCGAGGAAAAGGAGCAAACAGATTGGCAAAATCTGATATAATGAGAAAATGAAGGAAATTATTTAGGGGTCATGGAAATTTACGCGGACTACTCCAAAAACTCAGTCTGCGACTTGTTGTTCTATCAGATGGAGTGTATTTGAGCTAGTTTAGTTCTATTTTGAATTCACTGTTTTTATCAACCGTGGGTGGACATTTCACAGAGTTGGATATATCCCAGAATTCGATGGAAACCCAAGTCTAGGGCATTCAGACTGGAAGAATACACTAGTCTTGTGGGCTGCAACAGTGCCCCATTGGGCAGTCATCCAGGAAAATCAAATTTGTGTGTGCGTCTGAAAAAGGAGTAGATTCCACAACTGCGTAATCATAGAAGGTTCTCTAACAAAGAACTCATTGGGATGAAGGAAACTACTCACAGGGTTGCTGAAAACTCTTCGACAGCCCACGACCTGTTTCGCCCTTCTTGGGGCTCATCAGGTAGGCACAGTTTCCACCATCCTTATGTTCTACTTGAATATCGTGCCAACTGAAAAATGAGGCCGCTTGTGCGCAGCACATTCAGTTTTAGAATATCATAAACGGGAGATTCAGTTGAGTCTCTCGTGGAAACCAAATTGATTTGCAAATGAGTGTATTTCTCGAGAACTCATTGGGATGTTTTCCTGACTAACTTTTATTGTCCTCAACTGGAGGGGCTGACAAAGGCATCTAACGAGTCCACACCGAACAGTAACTCTTGGCAAGGAGTTGCTTTGGAACGCATATTTATCGTACACCAATAGTTGAAGAAAATTTCACGGGTTGGTTCAACTGTGAAAAATCTTCTATTCTATTGTTTTCACACATATAACCTCCTAGTATTTTGTACCATTTCTAGTTTGCCCTCAAACACTCGCGTCAGGAATCAATGAACCGTGCAGACGAGGACGCCAGCTGGTGGAAATGATTCGATTCGTGCCAAAGAAATGTGTTTGCGTCCCAGTGAAGTATTCTCAAGAGATTTCATGTCGTACGTGTTTGCTAGCTTACGTAGATTTGTTCGTTCATTTTCAAGATCATAGTTTGTTTCGACAGTGAATACTTACCATACTTATTTCATAACGGTACAAGCCAGCTCGGTAGTTAACCATTAATGATTAGTTTATTATGTACGGACGACGAACTTATGGCCTCTAATGATGGTCACGTGAACGCAGGTTTATCCGAAGAGGCGTCATTATGTTGTTGTAGGTGACTGCAGGACATGCGCTCGAGTTCTGCACGTCCTTCTACTGTTTTGGAGGAATTATTCTGGTGACTCTGAACCACAGAGAAGAAGGATTGGACTTCAGATTCGCCTTTGGCAGTGGTGTATATCTTTGGTCCTGGACACCTGAGATGTGTGGTTGCCGAAACTCGACCGCCTGAGTTATTGCGTCTGCACAAGCGAGTGATAGGATTGGTCTGCGCAGGGGCTCGAAAGACGACGCAGTAAATGTCCTGGCTGTGTAGATCAACTGACTCGCTGGTCAGTGTTCCCCAGTCATGGATGCTTGAAACCTGCTAGGCAGTTTTGGCTTTGCTGTTGATGGTCAATGACGTCGGTTGTTGCAGAGCTCCAATGAGAGCTAAGCTCACCTCCTCCAGTCTGCGTAGACTCACCAGAATTGTGGCTCTAGGACAAGTGGAGAATCGATCAAATGACAGCGATTTTAATTCAATATCATTACTTCATGTGGTATTTTGTCGCTTCTGACGAATGATGAATTAGTTTGGATGCAAAACACGTAACGCCATATAGTTTAGCCACCCTGTCTTTAATGTACTTTATCAATACTTCACCCATTTTTAGTGAAATTGGCAAGGACCAGATTCGGTTTCCTTTTTCAAGCCTCACGAGAAAACTTCTTTGAAAAACTTCTTATGTTGGCTTTTTATGTTGATTTCTTAGTACATATGAAGTAACAGCCAAGGAAAGATGCGGTGTATCTCGCAAGTACAGGCCGATAAGTAGCACCTTATGCTGTGTGTCTGGATCTGGCCGCTTTTTCTTCTCTCTCCAGCTTGTCGTTCTAGCCGGCTGTCCAATGAGGATTGTCGTAGCAATAACGGCGTTCGTGTGATCACCTACGAAAGACGTGCTGGCGACGAATGTGAGAGGCGACATGTGCGAATGAACAATGAAACGTGTACACAAGGAAACTTAAGATTTGCAGTTGAGGAACATCACAACGACAGCACATCTGGTCACCTTACGCGGGCACGGCGATCTGTTGGAACTGGTGAGAGTCTGTAGCATTAATTTATTGCTTAAATTCTGTCTTTGTTTGTTCCATTGGACTTGTTGGAAATAATTTGATTCAGTACAGTCAGTTTGAGTTTGCAAAATCTCGTTTATATTTGTACCATATCACCTTGTCTGCTAATGAGAGGGAACTTTTAATAAGCCATCAGAACGTAAGACTCCCAGCTTGCTGCGACTCGATGGATGAGAAATTAGCAAACTCTACACAAAAAGCACTGCAACCCTGTCAAATACGATATGTGGGTAGCACCAGTAACTGATAGCCAATCAAGGGACATCTTAATCGAAGGTGACTGTAACTGGTCCTCGGATGGATGTTTCCAACCGGATAGTCAAAGTAACCGGGTGCAGAAGGACCTGAATGACCGATCTCTGACCGTCGGCACAGTACGCATCCCCGAAGCTGTCTTCCTCTTCCCTCGCAAACACGGACTTGGGCAGTTTTGTATTGGTCTATCGGGGGTAGCCGAGGGTTATTACGTAACGGCTAACAAGGAAACCCACTACTGAGGTTCTCAATAAGGAAATTTGAGGCACGAGTAGGTTTGACGATTCCGATTAGCAAAACGAAGGATTAGGTTCGAAAATCCACTGTTCGATCTAGAAAATAACTGAGTAAAATCATAGAACAGACCTCGGTTGTCGACGCACTTGGCGTCGTCAAGTGCACAGGTCACTGCCACATACAGCACGGTGTAGAGCTCCTCACTCCAGATAAGGGCGAGCGGAATTTCGGTTCGCTAGTGTGGGTTGTGGTCGCTCCTTCCAACACAAGTCTCGTGATTCTAATTGGTGGTGCGACCACTCGAGAATCACGACTGAACCAACAACGGGACACGAACACGCATGAGTATGTGGGTCAGGTGCGCACATCCACATACGACGCACACGCCAGAATACCAGTGTCGAACGGAGCGACCTTGGCGGCAAGTGAGTGGTGGTTACGGTTGAGCTAAAAAACAAGTGGAGATCAAAATCACATGGACGAAGTAAGCAGACGAATGATGGAGTTATCATGATGTTAACTTGGATTAAGTGCTCACCATATTAGTAATATGACTACATCCCCAAGATGAAATGCACTACAAGTGGTTCCAAAATACCTGGGAACATGAACTTGCTTACGTTAACTGCATTTCCCCAGTAACGGCCATTGAACATGGAAAAGCCCAGCACCGAAGTCTGCGGCTAGGCAATGTGGTGTTCAGGTCGTTCCGCGGAGGTGCTACTCCATTCCAAGTCCAGCAATGAGTACGGTGATGCTGACATGGCTCAAAGAAGGTTAGTGGCCCATTGGGGTGGAGAGGCAGAAATGACAGCACCTTCCTGGATAGACCTTGGAGTCGGGTTGTTTGTGAATGCAGCCCAAAGTGGGTGGTAAACTCCATCCAAGGCTAAATAGTTGTATGAGTCCGGCAGCGAACTGTGAAGGAGAGTTGGGATTACTTCGAAGAGAGAGTAAAAAGTGCTTGAAACCGCAGCGCTTCTGACATGCGGATTGATCATCAGAAGTGAGTATAGGGGGCGAAAGACTAACCCAACTATCAGTAGTATACACTGTTACACCAATGATTTTCAACTTAGTCAGTATGGGGGTGTCTGTTCAGATAAACGGAGCTCACGACTCGCCGACTGATGCCCACGGTTCTGTATGCGAATCTAAGTAAAACATGATGGGGTACTATCATAAAGTACACTTGATCTTAGCACTGGACTGAGGTTTGATTATAGAGAATGGAGTAAAACCATAAAGTTCCCCCGTTTACGGAATCCTGACACTGTGAGTCAATCGCGTGTTAGTTCGAGTATCGCATGGTACGAATTCCTACTCATTTCTTTTCAGAAATTGCTTTTTTCCCTAACTAACTGACTGAGATACAGAGTTTACCTTCAAAGGGCCTGCACAATTTTAAAAAAATCTTTTTGTGTAGTTTGTAAATCTTGATTGACTCTAGTTAAAAACGATGCGTTAGTTCATATGGGATACAACTTTCTATGATGAGCACAGCTACGTCTGTTGCCGTTTTGTCCGAGTCTTTTTGTTTCCGGAGGGAGAGTCCTCGCCAACTTTATTGCCTATGACTAGTTTCCAAACTCATCACTGCGTGTATTGCAGCTGTCGAAGTTTGCGCCAAAAACCAAGTATTCGTTGTCAACAGAAACCCATGCCCTGATACGTGTGAACGAGTTTTGTTTGGCAAGCCGAATGTCTGCCACCATGCCCAAGCAGGACCGGGCTGTGAATGTCGTCAAGGCTACGTGCTAGATGGGATAATCTGCGTGCCACCAAGTCAATGTGGATGCCTGAATGCCAGTAAGTGTTCATCTTCTCTTATGCATATCTTGGATAGTAACCGCATTACCTGAATCCTAAGATCTAGTGCTTCTCAACTCGTGTTTGCAGGGGACTTCCATTCTTTAGGGAACTCTCACTCAAGTTAAAGTGGACTCATAATAATGGAAAGTACTCACAAGGTTGCTGAAAACTCTTCGACAGCCCCCGACCGGTTTGGTCCTTCTTAAGGCTCATCAGGTAGGCGCAGTCCCCGAGTTTCCGTCAACTTTATGTTCTATTTAGACTCATAATAGATGAAATGCGTAGTGGAATCTTCGGTCTACCCTGAAAACCCTCTATATCCTTGAGATAAGTGACAGTTAGAATGACTGACAAATTCGTCAGCAATTATTGTAGGAAAAAACCTCCAAACTTCAGTGTTGGAAACAACTGTCTCAGTGATGATTTGAATCTAAAATTGATCGATAAAATACCCTTCAGTCCAACTTAGAGCACCGAAGAACTTTCGTCAGTCTGCAGCAGGAGCAGTGTGATGGAGGATTTTTTATGCCTCATTTGTTACTCTGACATCAGGGTGGATGGCTTCAATGAATTCAAGTAATTGTGTTTACCCTCACATTTTCGAGGGATTTCACAGACACTGAGACGAATTCGTGTGATTTTGTGGCCACCAATGACGAAAAGAATAGATGGGCAAACCACAATTACATCTTTATTACTCTTTGACTTTTATTTGTTCGTGTTATGACTTGGTCTCAATCAAGCACGCGTGGATGCGAACTCAAATATCTCGCGAACTCAGCGAATATACACTCATTTGCAAACTAACTGGCTTTTTCGAAAGACTCACCTGGAACCCAGCTGAATCTCTCATTTGTGATGTTTCCAAGCAACTGAATGCGCTGCACCAGGCCGCCTCATGTTTCAGTCGCTACGATATTCGAGATATCGCGATACATGTATACATTCGTAATGTACTACTCATAAGGTTGCTGAAAATCCGTCAACAGCCCACGACCGGTTTAGCCCTTTTTGGGGCTCACCAGGTAGGCCTGGAAACATCACAAACGAGAGATTCAGCTGGGTTCAAGGTGAGTCTCTCGAAAAACCAAATTAATTTGCAAATGAGTGTATATTCGCTAATTTCGTGCAATTTGGTTTCAAGTAGAACATAAGGTTGACGGAAACTCGGGGACTGCGCCTACCTGATGAATCCCAAGAAAGGCGAAACCGGTCGTGGGCTGTCGACGGATCCTCAGCAACCTTATGAGTAGTACATCTCGCGAACTCATTCACCATCCCGCTGGTGAGTCAAATTCGATAATTGGCACGCCTTGGTGACCAACTATCCACTACAGATGTCGTACGTTCCCCTTTTCAAGAACTTATTTGGTTCTATGCATTCTGTGGGTTAGATTTTTGGGTGAATTCACACACCTGGGATTTTCTATGGAAAATGGACAGAGATGGCTCAAATTACGTAACCACAGCTTCCATAGCTCTCTCCTTGCGTTAACCATACTCATAATATTACCGAGTCACTGCTCATTTGTTGAGTGCCGTCCGTATAACAGAGTGAATTAGTGGTGGGCTCACTGGAGAGAGGCTAACTCAGCGTCTTCTTCTTTCTAAACCGCAGTTTGTGTTGATCGAGCGCCGGCTGAAAAATGTCATCAATGGCGGGCTGAGGGTCGTTGTGAGAAGGACCAAGTTGCTATGTCCAAGGTCTGTCGAGCCACTTGTCACAATTGCCAACAACCCTGTGAAGACATGATAGCAACGGTCCAGTGCGAACAGCTCAAACAAGAGGGGAAATGTCAAGACGTTTCTATCGG